GCCACATCCCCAGACTAGGAATCGATTCGGAACATGGTGTTATAGAGGGGTTGAATGGTAATATTTGGACTTCAGCTGAAAATAAATTGTAGAAGAGGGGCTGTTTGGTAACTGTTGGACTTATTCTGAAAAGAATTATAGGAGCAGGGGTTTAAAGGGTAAATATTGGAGCGAATTTGAAATAATTTCATAAGGGAGGGACCATTGTTGTCATTATGGGGTGAAGTTTCATCGGGCTCGGGGTATAAGACCCGTCACCCTGGTAATCCTAACCCTAACTCAAGAGTGCAGCCACCATTATCTGAAGTCCTCCAGCCGCCACCTTCTCGTAACCGACCACCACTCAACCACCGGCAGTCTAGCCGTCGGACGCCACCACAGTGTTGCTGCCGGATGTTTTGGGCCGCCGAATGAACCATCGAGATGATCGTCGGTACTGCCCCAGCTGTCTTCGCCTCCGACTCCATCCACAGCGGCTAGTCGCCGCCGCTGCCGCCGTGTTGTTTCAAGCTACCAGCGAAGCTGTGAAACGCATGGACCGACCTCCAACTGCCGCCTTGCCTTTGAAGCGCCTTTTGTTTTAGTTCGTGGGTTGTTGTTCCATCGCCCTTCTCTCCGATTGCCATGCGCCACCGCAAGGGTGGCGGTGGTTAGATGCATTTCCGACGTGAACTCGCGTATGTTGACGGGTTGCTGGGCAGGGGATCGAGAGAAAGCATCGCCACCACCAAGAGGTGGTGGCTGTCATCGCAAAACTGTCGCTGCTGCTGCCGCCTTCCTGTGTCGTTGTCGCCATTGTACGCCACCAGGAGGGTGGCTGGGTCCAATTGCAAGCAACAAAACGTGTGTGTGTGTGTGCTTTCCTGTTAAGAGGGCGTGTGTGTGTTTTGCTTGGCCGGAAAACCAAGAAAGCCACCACCACCACCATGAGGTGGTGGCTGCCACCATCTACCACCGCCGGCCACCACAAGGGTGGCTGTGTGTGTGTTTATCTTAGTATGTGTGTGTTTATTTCGAGATTTTGCATTGTAAAAATTGTAATTAGTGACTAGTGTAATCAAGAAACTCATAACCACCACCGTAGGGTGGTGGTTGCCGCCTTTCCGCCGCCACCAGCCGCCGTGTTGGGTGGCGGTGTGCTTTACGGTGTTTGCTGCTTTGGTGCTTGTTTGGGACTGCTTGGAGCGTATGCTGAGAGAACAATAACGACCACCGTGAAGTGGTGGCCGCCACCGTGAGCCGCCATTGACCACCACTACGCGAGGTGGTAGTGGGTAGTGCCCGACTTAGGAAAAAACCCTAATTGACCCCATGAAACCCTAATGGGCCTAAGGACTTATCTTTTCGGCCTAATTGGATTGTGATGGGTTGGAAACCGTAATTAGGGTTTAGAAAACCCCAATTTTGGATATATGGGCTTTGGATTGTTGGGACCCGCATTTTGGACAACCGGATTGGGATTATGTATTAAGCCCTACCACACCATATGATTTATCTAGTAGAGTGATGGAATTAATGGATTAAATCCTTAATGGGTTAAGTAAGAAACACTTAACCCTAATTGTCATTTTATGTGAAAACCCTAATCTTGCTTGGGCCTTTCTATTGGGTTTTGGTGATTAGGCTAATAATGGGCCATCCAAGAATAATCATATGGAATAGAATAATTGGATGGGCTTTAGGGTAAGGCCTATGTGAGGGGTTTGGGCCCAATTTTCCATAGATGGGCCATAATTGGGCCTTGATGATCATGAGATATTAGACCATCAGAATGCCAAGTATTGGATCAAGAATAAATGGTTGGGCCTTAAGGTGAGACCATGTAGAGGTTTGGGCCCTTTTTGGAAAAATTGGGCCATATGTTGGGCCTTGGTTGATTATTAGACTTTTGGGCCTTTGGATTGGGCCTTGGGCTTGAATCAAGCTAAGTTAGGGGTAAAGTAGTCTTTTACCCCAATCATGGACTTATGGATATGTGTTGGGACCCAATTATTAATTGGGTGTGATTTTGATGTTGACAGATTCGAGAATTTGTCATCCAGCAGCTAGGGTTTTGTCCGCGGGACTACAGCAGTGTGAGGTGAGTTTTCCTCCAGTAGAACGGGTCGAAGGCACCAAGGCCGACCCGCATATGTATGATTAGCAGCTGAGTGTGGGCGGGGCCCGTATCTCATGGCAGCCGAGTGTGGGCGGGGCCCGTATATCATAGCTTTATTTGATTATGGATATATATGACGAATTGATAGATTTAGTTACACTTGTTGTTTATGTGATACTTGTATGTATGATTAGTAGCTGAGTGTGGGCGGGGCCCGTATCTCATAGCAGCCGAGTGTGGGCGGGGCCCGTATCTCATAGTATTATTCGAGTATGTATATAGGACTGATTGATAGAATTGATTATACTTGTTGTTTGTGTGATACCTGTATGTATGCTTAGTCAGCGGAGTGTGGGCGGGGCCCGTATCTCCTAGTTAGCCGAGTGTGGGCGGGGCCCGTATCTCGTAGTCAGTGGAGTGTGGGCGGGGCCCGTATCTCCTAGTTAGCCGAGTGTGAGCGGGGCCCATTTCTCGTAGTCAGCGGAGTGTGGGCGGGGCCCGTATCTCCTTGAGTGTGGGCGGGGCCCGTATCTCCTAGTAGCATGATTATTTGTATGGTATGTGGTAGTTTGGGGAAACTCTCTAAGCTTCGTGCTTACAGTTTTCAGTTTTGGTTTCAAGTACTTCGGTTTTCAAAAGAGGAGTTTGGGGATGATTGCAGTGCACACACCATTTGTTTAGCCTGGGATGTTTATACTCTGATAAATTTTGACAGTTGTTATGATATTTTGAGATACACTATTTATGCTATTTATATGATGATTATATTTATGGTTTTATTACTGATTTAAAAATGAAATTTTTTGCCTGTATTTTTGGGATGTTACATTTTCATCTCTTTTTCTCTCCTTTAGGGCTGCCAAAACTACGGGTTTCATGCTCTCTCTCTCTCTCTCTATCTCTCTCTCTCTCTCTCTCTCTCTCTCTCTCTCTCGTAATTTGGTGCATGAATTAAATGGTTATTAGTTTCTTCTTCTTAAGACTTATTTGGTATGTTTCTTAAGGATTAAGAACAACTTATATACAAGTGATGAAGTGAAGATTAACACCTTTGGTTGTTTACTCTTGCTTTGTGGATACTGTTAGAGAAGCTCTGCTTTGAGTTGTTTGCCATCTTCATCAACTTCTAATCTCCCGAAATGAATCAAAGTCTTCAAAGGTTGTAACTCTTTTTCTTTCTATGGTTGATTTAATCTTTCCATGATTTGCAAAATAGTATTTGGTGGGTTAAAATGGTTTTAAGTTTATTCTAATGACAAAGCTTCCATTGTTGTTTTTAGTGTTTTGGGAAAAACGATTTTGAATAAAACCTAACAATATATATATATATATATAATATATATATATATATATATATATATATATATATATATATATATATCACAGGTCATCACCGTATTTTGCCACATACGTGGGTTCGGTCCTCCAAGGCCTGTTAGAGCTCTCTTCAACCTGCTCATGGCTAGATCGATCGGTTCGGGTCAAACTCTGTTGCTACTCAAATGAAACATTTTCCCCTCGAGGGAGTGGTTATTTTCCCGATGAAATCGAGGGCACAAGTTGAAATGGGTAGGGAGTTCCACGGCTGGAGCATGTATGAGGTTGCCATGTAGTTGACAAACCTTGCACCTCTTAACAAATGTTGCTGAATCTATCTCCATATATATATATAGAATATATTATATATATATATATATATATATATATATATATATATATAATATATATATATATATATATATATATATATATATATATACATATATATATATATTCTTTAAGGATTTAAGATGAAATATGCTACCACCACGTTCATCCAATAGAGTTATATAAAAACCCGCCAGACTCGACCCAACATGCAACCATTTTTTTTAAGTTTAGAGAGCTTTTATTTTATTATGGTTACATTTCTTCCAACCATCACTTATTTAATATATATTCACATGGGAAAATGATCTAAAATGATCTTTATGAATACAATTAACTCTTACCTTACACCTACCTATCACAATTTTTATATACACAAACAACTCTTACCTAACACTCACCTATCACAACTATTTATGAATACAAATAACTCTCATATAACATCCACCTACCATTTTATAAATACAACAACTCTTACTTAACACCCACCTATCACGACTCTTTATGAATACAAACAACTCTTACCTAACACCCATCTATCACAACTTTTTATGAATACAAACAACTATTACCTAACATCCACCTACCATAACTTTCTATAAAAATTATCCTGACTGTTATCTAACAACTTATCAAACCACTATATAAAGATGTGAAGACCATAACATTCTTCACAACAAAGCTAATTAATCATAATGCTCAAATTTACTCCAAAAATGTTTTCCAACCGGTCTAAAATCGCTCATAAATTTAGATGTCCTTTAACCTCCGATGATCAGCTTGGGCCCTTGTCCATTCCTAATGTGATGAAGAAAGATGTATTAGTCAAAAAATCAAAGGTTAACAAGGTGAGTGAGTTTTGAAGGAAGAAAGAGAGCGTATGCTATAAGAAATTGAAGCCAAGAATTAATGGATAATGCAAACAAAAAAAATCAAATACACTAAATGGTTGAACACAGACGCCAAGTATAAGGATACTGGATAAGCATCAACACAAAGATCTAAAGAGCGTAGTGATTTGCGAAAATATGAATAAAAGACAAGCATTGATTAATAGGAAAAAAGAAAAATTATCATACAATTCTACAATCCCTTTCAAAGAAACTGATTATTAGTATTTCTTTATGTACTAATCAAATGTAAAGCTCCTTTCCATTAATGAAATTTAAACATGCTTTTACGTTTTCATGAATCTTAGATTAGGGTTTCATCATATCTTGGTTTTTATTTTGAAGATAGATGGATTATGTGGATAGTGGGAGCCTAAAAGAAGATGAAAAACAGCAACTGGTGATGAAAACAAACGACAAAAACAAAATAAAAACCACACCGCTTTGATTAGTCTATGGCTGGTTTTGAGTTTTGACCTTTTAGAACTACAATTGTAAGAATTCATTTGAGCTCAAATATATTTTAACTACAAGGGATTTTGCCACTTTCCAAAATATTTCTAAAAAAAAAATCATGTCCTCAATTCCTTTTTGTAGAATCAAATTTATGTATAGAATAACCATAACCATAACCATAACCATAAACATTTGGACCTAATATAAAGGCTACATACAACAGGAAACATATGATAGAAAAAAGTAAAAATAACAATAATGAAAAAATTGTGTTATTAACATAACATAAAATGAACATCATATAGCTTTGTTGATGATCTTTGGTTATGAGAATTTCTTTTTTCCTTCAAGAGAGATCTCATCTCGCCTAGCTTCAATGCTTAAGCACCTCCCTACATGATTTCTATAATTAATAATTTAATATTTAACTTTTAACAATTTTACTTTAACTTTAAAAAGGCTAAAATCTTACCTCATGTTACTCATAATGATGCAGAAGAAGCCTTGGATGCAAGGTTGTGAGCAATAATAATCAGTTGGGAAATCACCTTCTTCAACATTTTCTGAACATGTTGGAAATTGTAATTCTTGAAAATTTTCTGTATATAACAATGTGAAGATAAATACAAGAAAACAACTACATAAATAATTAAACACTAAATAAAACATGAAACATTCATAATATAAAAGAGATACAAAACTAAAAAAGCATACCATCAATAATACAACAGAAGAAAGACACCTCCATGTGTTCAGTGTTCAGGGTTTAGGGTTTAGGGTCCAGCTCATCATACTTCATTAGCCAACCAATGACAACATGTCAACATCATTGGCCTTGATCAATTCTCAACCACTTTTGATAAACACCATAAGCCCCATCAAGATTCCCAATCTTAAAATACTTTTTAATAAGTATTTGAAAAGGGAAATGATCAATCACTAAATTATTACACTTTTTTAGCATATGAAAACTAAAAATTCTCTCTGCATCTTCGATTTTACCTCTCATACAAAACCCTTTTATCAATTTTGTATATGTAATAACATCCGGTTCATACCCTCTTTCCAACATATCATCGTGAATTTGCTCAGCAGAATAAAGATGTCCAAATTCCGATTCTGCCCCTACCAACAAATTATAAGTCACTGTATCAGGCAAAGGACCAGATGAAATCATCTCCTTCATCACCAAATGAGCCTTGGATATTTCTCCACGTTTTATAAACATGTGAATCAAAGCATTATAAGTAAACACATTAGGCAAAACACCATATTCCATCATTTGATTCATTATATGTAATGTGTTTTGCTTATCTCCATGTCTACCATATCCACCAATGACAAGGTTCCACGTCAGCAGTGGAGGAATCATTGATTTTTCCAACATGGAATTAAGTAACTCGTGAGCTGTCACCATGTTTTCAAGTCTACATAACCATTGGATTAAAATATTGTATGTGATTTTATCTGGAGTAACACCCATTTTTGACATGACTTTGTAGAGATAAAAAGCCTCATCGATTTGTTTCATCTTACAAAGTGTGTTTATAAGAGTGTTGTAGGTGAAATTATCTGGAAGAAAACCGATTTTTAGCATTTGGTTTATGTATTTATATGCAAGAATCAAATCATATCTCAAAGAAGATCCATGGATGACAACATTATATGCAACAACATCCACTTCTTTACTCAAAATCTCTTTCCAAAGTGTAAAAGCAAGAGATGTATCTCCTTTCTTGAAAGAACTATCCATGAGAATTGTTGAGGCTATAAGAGTCTTTTCACTATATTCATCTGTTAATTCCAGAAGAAGTGCCCTAGCTTCTTCTAACTTCTCTTTCTTGCAATGTGCATGTACTAGAATAGTGTATGTGATTACATTTGGTTTTACTTTCCCATAGTTCATAGCTGATATAAGATCTAGAGCTTTATCAGTATCACCAAAAGCACAATAACCCTTCATTAAAGTGTTGTAGGTAGCAACATTAGGAGATGGGCCCCACAAACTCATCTGAGTTACAAGCCATTCTGCTTTCTCAAATGCATTAACTTTACAGAATCCGTTAATGAGGTAGTTATGTGTAACTACATCTGGAAAAATACCTTGATGTATCATTTTGCTTCTTAGCCTCAATGCTACTCCTAATCTACCTTCTAAACTTAAATTCCTAATTGTGTCTATATGTTGACTGTATCCTGCTTTTAATTTGTAGTTGTAATGGCCTATATGTGCCCATGACATGCTTTCCCTGAAAATTATATCAATGTTAACACAATGAAGGATTTGGATAACTTGTGAAGTTACATAGCAAGAAAAAGTAGCTAATCTGACCTCATATGTTTCAACCTCTCCAAACTACACTTAAGAATGGCATCCAACACATTGAAAACCACTTCAGGATCACCACCACCACCCCCGGAATCTTTATCAGGTGCTGAAAATTCTTGTGTTTTCTGTTGATGTTTACTTCCAATTGCTTCAAGAAGATCTTGAAAAGCAAATGGGAATAGCTCATTGTTCCTGGAAGTCCTACACATGCATTTACTTTGGTACTTTAGATTGATTCACATCAATTATAGAACACTAACAAGCCTAATGCTTTGAAAATGAAGGTCAAAATGTATGAATGCAAGTACTGTGAGATAGATAGATGATGCAAATATGTTTTATGGCAGGGTATGAATGAATAGAGTGTCAAAGATGAAAATGTGCAAGAGAGTGAAAGAAAAATCCAAATTTGAATATTTTGTAAGTGAAATCTGTACATTTCAAATGCATAAATTTGTATATTTGTTGCAATTGTAACACCTACGTTACTATACTCATAGCACTTGTAGGCTTCAAGGTACAAATGTTTATAGGTTTCTTCAGAATCCATGACTTTAGAAGATAAAAAGTGAACTCGATTGACATCGAAATCAAATATAGTAGCTCTTTGGCAAAACCAATAGAGTACTTAAGTTGCGTCAGTTACCTCGTATCAGTTAGATATGCGCTAGAGCGTGTGCAGCATAAAATGTCTATAAAGATCTGAGAAATGCGATCCTTGATAGAGCCTAGGGTTTGGAAACTGTTGTTGAATAGCCGATGAAACAGAAGATGCGGATCTTCGGTGGCAATCAATAGCTGTTTTTTGTCCAAAATTATATACACGTAAATATATATGAATCAAACATAGTGAAACAAACGAAGTTAAAATTAGAAGCTAAAGGAATAGAGATTGTGTATAGAAATCAGGTGACAGTTTGGGAACCTACGCTGGTCATCTTCAGGGTTTCCACGTACACTGAAATGGTGATGCTTGTGGTTTTCCGGCGAACGGAATGCGGCAGTCCGTTGACGACGGCGGGTGCCAAAGAGATGGAGAGAGACGTCAAGTGAGGTTAGGGATCATTTTTGAAAGATTGCCTTGGTAACTGCTCCTTTTTCGATTCGATTTAGTTGTTCTTTTTTTTTTCACTTAGAAAATGAAAATAGAGAAACTATAATGGTTCTATTATAATTTATAAGAGGATTTTTTTTTTCTTTTTCATATTATAGTCTCGATTTGTTTACTTTTTGTATTTTTTTTATTGGGAAATTATCACCGTAACCCAAGGTTCTAAAAAGTTCGTCATGGCTCCGCCATGGCGCGCCACGGCTCCAAGGCTTGCACTTGCCGCTAAGTTTTGCTAAAACGTCGCCTTAAGTCATATATGTGTATAAAAATGAATAATAGTTGAAAATACATATAAAAATATTAATTATATAGAATATTGCCGCCTTAAGTCACGCCTTACAAACGCCATGACTCGCCAAGGCTCGGAAAAGCTTGAGGCTTGACATTGACGCCAAATCACGCCTTACATTATTTAGAACCTTGTCGTAACCCAACCATCTTTCGTATATTAGTTTAAATGGTCCTTCGTGACTATTTTTTGCTTTTAAAGGGCTTGTACTTAGGAGTGAGCATTTGGACAGACCCCCGGGCCGGTTCTCAGTTCTAGGATTTAAGGGCGGTCCGGTCCGGTTCAGCCGGTTCCGGGTAAAACCGGTTGGACCAACTTATTTATAAAAAAAAAGGTTAAATTTTTAAACAAACATATCTCATTCGTTTTAAGTCGGATTGATATGCGATTTTTTTCAACGTCTAATTTAGAGTTTGTAGATTATTTTAGATTATAATTTTGTTGTTTTTGATGTTATATTCAATGAGTTACAATAAATCAAAGTTGATATATCAAAGTTGAAATATTTTAGCTCTTCAGCAATAAATTAATTTTTTGTATTCTGTAAAATTGTTTAAACAAGCATATCTCATTTGTTTTAAGTCGGATTGACATGAGGTTTTTTCCAACGTGTAATTTAGAGTTTGTAGATGATTTTAGACTATAATTTTGTTTGTAGATGATTTTGGACTATAATTTTATTGTTTTTTGTGTTATATTCAATGAGTTACAATCAATCAAAGTTGGGATATCAAAGCTGAAATATTTCAGCTTTTCAGCAATAAATTAAAATTTTGTATTATGTAAAATTGTTTAAACAACCATATCTCATTCGTTTTTAGTCAGATTGACGTGGGGTTTTTTTCAACGTGTAATTTAGAGTTTGTAGATGATTTTAGACTAAAATTTTGTTGTTTTTGATATTATATTCAATGAGTTACAATCAATCAAAGTTAGGATATCAAAGCTGAAATATTTCAGCTTTTCAACAATTATTTTAGATTGTAATTCTAAATTTTATGTATCTTTTAACAGATAAATCATACGAAAGAGATCTTGATAGAGTATCGGAAAATTCTGACTTCGAAATTGTAATGGATATGGTGAACTTCTTTGAAAAATTCAAGACAAAAATAGAGCTTGTTTCGGCTACATCAAATCCATTGCTAAATCTTTTTATCCGGGAAGTCTTAGATGTGGACATATGTCTAAGAAAGTGGTCAACCAAACCAATGTTTCTCGAAATGGTAAAGGACATGAAGACGAAATACGAAAAGTATTGGGGTGCCTACGACAAGATGAACGATTTTATGTACTTTGTGGTTTTACTTGATCCTACCACCAAATCACCTTTTTTGTTACATGCATTTAAAAAAATGATCAGGTACATGGAACCGTCATTGACCTCCACATGCATAGACATAAAAGCACGTCAAATGGTCCGATATGTTGAGAATAGGATGGAGAATTTATTTATGACCTACTTGGAAAGATTTGACAATGGTGGATCTTTTCAACAAGATGCGAGTCAAATAGTCATTGATTATGATGATAACGATTTTTTCGGTGATTTTCTTAACATGGGAGGTAGCAACTCGGATCCAATGGATAACGAGTTACGAACCTATTTGAAAGAGAATATAGTGAATTATAAAAAAGATTTTTCTATTCTCGGTTGGTGGAGAGTAAACGCGATTAGGTTCCCGACAGTTGCTCGGATGGTGAAAGGTGATTACTTTTTTTTAGTCTTACATAGTTTCTTTATAAATTAATGTCGTTACAATTTAATTCTTTTATTGTTAGATATATTGGCGATACAAATCTCAAGTGTGGCGTCCAAGTCCGCGTTTAGCACACATGTGGTAGAGTTGTAAGTGAGTATCAGACTAGTTTATCGACATTGATAGTTGAAGCTTTGTTATGCACCCAAGATTGGGTGAGAAAGTCTACAAATTTGGTTCAAACTCAAACTAGCTCAAAAGATAAACAATTTGGTTTGCTTGGTATTGCTAATTGAACGCGTTTATAGTGAAAAATAAATGATATTTTTTAACCTTTATTATATTTGTCTTTAAGGGGCCCTTTTTTTCTTTTCGCCCCAGGCCCCATATACGTTTGGACCGGCCCTGTTTAGATGACAATGATATGGGGAGGAGGCCAATGAAAGATTATATTATGACGTTTGTGAGTTGGATTAATTTTAAAGTTTAAACTATGATTTTTGGTGTTACGGTAATTACTTTTGTATGTTTGTGTTAAGAACTTAAGATTGTTAACTTTTGTTGGTAAACTTGATATATATGTTAGTTGGTAAACATGTTACATTTAGATGACAATATATGTATGGTTGTGTTAAATTGTTACCGGTCCAGACGGGTCCAAGAACCAGAAAACACGGACCTCGACCCGGACACGCACACAGACACAACTCATCCGGTCCGGTCCACGGCCCACAATATTCTCCATAACCGGCCAGGTCCAAGAGTCGGTCCGGTCCGGTCCAGTCCAAATGCTCACCCCTACTTGTACTTGTGATTTTATGGTTTAAAATGTCACATTTTAAGATTTGAAGGGTGCAACCGGTGACACCCATCCTACTAGGATGTTTGTTTATTTCACATCAATGCCAACTAGATTAAATATGACAGGTCATTGCCACGTGTTTTGTTAGTAATTGAAACTTAATATTCGTTTAAACCCTCTCAACTGTCCCTTTCATTTATTATGCTACCTTTTTCATCGGTATACTTTTTTCAAACTGTGCTGGACACAAATCCGTTTCTTAAACTCCTCTTCGCTCAAATCGGCCAACATAATCAATCCTATGGTTGTCTACATGAAGATAGATCTCCATTTTTCCAGAATTCTTACGAGGTACCCCGCTATTTGTTAATCAGATGGTGCAGAGCAAAGGTTCAATGATGTCGATTTTGCTGGAATGGACAAGAACGGGTTTGTGGTGTTCCTTCAAAGATTGCTAATGAGGTATGCTTCAATGTTTACTTTTGCATGCCCGATGTTGAGTTCCCTGATGGATTGAGGGTAATAGCTACTGATATAGACTACATGGACTTCATCGAAGTAGGGTATGCTTCTGCTAGTGTAATTCTTGTATACATGGACCATCTTGGTGTTAATGTACATCAATGGATTCTTGACGAGCAAGTCGAAGTATGCAGTTCATTAGACGAATTGTCTGCTAGAAATGAAGTTGGTGAAGAAGTGCAAGGTGGTATGGATATGGTTGATGGAATTGACATTGAGGATTTGGTAGGTCATAGTTGGCAAGGTGTTACGAAGGATTTGCAAGGCATTAGGGGAGATTTGAAAGATGGGGAAGATAATGGCATTGACATTAAAGTTGATAATGTGCAAGGTGATAGGGAGGATCTGCAAGGTACTAGGGAGGATTAGCAAGGTAAGGAAGATGATGGCATTGGCTTGGAAGTTGACAATGAACCTGATGAGTGTATTCCTATGAACAAGACAAAATATGATGAGTTTTTGAGCAAGCTGTGCCCAAAGGACCAAGTTACCCCTGATAATCCTCCTCATGAAGAGCCATATGATCATGTAGATGAGGATGAGGTATCTAATGACCAATATATTTACAATGAGAAAGTTCATTGGAAAAAGCAAAAGCTTGTATTAGGTATGAGATTTGTGAGTCCTAAACAACTAAAACACATGCTGTGTAACTATATTGTTGCAAATGGTTATCAGTTATGCTACAAGAAAAATGATAGCAATCGACTTTTAGTGAAATGTTGTTCTGGTGCTTGCAAGTTTAGATTGTGGGCATCTTGGATGAGTGAGGAAAAATATTTCCAAATTAAGAGTGATGAGAATAAAGTTCTCTTAGATCGATAGATTCAAACAGATATTAATAAGACTATAACATGCAATATGAAACAATGAACACCAACGTGAATCAAACGAATGTCGAATGATTAAAACAGCAACCCTCAGAAGAGCTCGATGAAGAACTTCTACTTTAGAGGGTGCTAGGGTTACATTACTTGTCAAAAGAATATTCAGAAACGTAACTAACAAGATGCATGCATGCACCATAAATACTAAACCCTAAAAACAAACACACGGTTGGACAGGCCCAAACCGTGATTACATATGGACCGAACTAACTAGGCCCAATGGCGCAACACATGAACTCAACAATCTCCCCCTTTGCGCCAATTGAGGTGAGAGATCACTTCGGTTGAGTAACTGTAGTTTTCCTCACAGTCTTGAACAACTTGGGAATGATGGCAAGAAGTTTGTCGGAAAAGAATATACCACCGAAGCATATCAGTAAACATCTTTTTATTAGCTTCACTGTTCTGATTACACCCGTGTATGATATCGAGAATATGCTCCAAGAATGCAGTGGAAAACAGGTGTTTGTCAACAAGAGCGAACATGCACTTTTGACCTTCGCCCCTGATGAACATGACTGTAAGAAACTTGGGGTCGATTTTACCCTTAATCATCACATTGATGTCGCTTGCCTTCCCAATTGGCTTGATAGTGGGCTTCTTATTTATGGCAGAGGCGATTTCCTGATCCATCTTTGTGACTTCAAGAATGTAACACACCAGCTGTAACATCCGGATTTCCGGGTATAATAAAATGAGTATTATTTTCTAAGTTATGAGGAGTGACTCGACGAGTTGGCGCCTTAACTCGTCGAGTAGGATCGCGGCTTGGTGACGTGGAAAATGAA